ATTGTTCATCCATTTAGGATCATTTTTGCTTGATCTGATTTCTCTATTTGAAACATAAGTTGTCTGAGCAGCTAGAACTATGTCCTGGAAAATGTCATACTGGGAATCATCACCACCTACCAGACCCATAGTCAGGTCATTCCAGTTCAGCCCACCCAAGTAATTTTTCAGTCCTATGAAATCAGCCAAGCGGAAGTCAGAGACAGAGACTTGATTGCCATTATTAGGGGAATTCCATGATATATTAAAACTGAGTGATTTGTGATCACTTTCCCCAAGCTCATCATTAACCTCAAGATTATTAATTAGCATTTCCCTGCTGGCAAGAACCAAGTCAAGCAGGTTATTTCCTCTAGTTGGCTCTGTCACAAACTGTTTTAAAAAACAATCCTGAATTGTATCAAGAAAGTCACTTGACTCTAAATTTCCTGTCAAATTGCTCCAGTCAATCTGTCTATAGTTGAAATCTCCCATTATCACATTTTCATATATAGAGGCCTTACGCATTTCATCCCATAGAAGTTTACTGCACTCCCTATCAAGATTTGGGGCCCTGTAAATCACACCCAAAATTAGTTTTTCGTGGCCCTCGAGAAGCTGTAACCAAACAGATTCAGTTGCTGACGCTTCTAATTTTATGTCTTGTCTAACAAAACAATTTAAATTGTCTCTGATGTACATCGCTTCCACCACCCTTCCTGTTGACCCTGTCAGTGTGGAATAATTTATAGCCTTGTATGTGACATTCAGAGGGCATCTCTCTATCTTTCAAATTGAGCCAGGTCTCTTGTTATTTCAATAATATCTATGTTTCCTGCACTTGCAATTAAGCTTAGCTCATCTATCTTATTTCTTACACTCCTGCTATTAGTATAGTAGACCTTAAGGGAGCTAGTCCAGTGCTTTGCTTTACAGTGTTTAACTTGCCAAAACTTTGCTTTACAGTGCTTTGGTTTACAGTGCTTTGCTTTACAGTGCTTTGCTTTACAGTGCTTCACTTTACAGTGCTTCACTTTACAGTGCTTCACTTTACAGTGCTTCACTTTACAGTGCTTCACTTTACAGTGCTTCACTTTACAGTGCTTCACTTTACAGTATTTAACTTGCCAAAACTTTGCTTTACAGTGCTTCACTTTACAGTGCTTTGCTTTACAGTGCTTCACTTTACAGTGCTTCACTTTACAGTGCTTCACTTTACAGTATTTAACTTGCCAAAACTTTGCTTTACAGTGCTTCACTTTACAGTGCTTCACTTTACAGTGCTTCACTTTACAGTGCTTCACTTTACAGTGCTTTACTTTACAGTACTTCACTTTACAGTGCTTCACTTTACAGTGCTTTACTTTACAGTACTTCACTTTACAGTGCTTTACTTTACAGTACTTCACTTACGTAGCTTTACTTTACATGCTTCACTTTACAATGCTTACTTTACAGTGCTTCACTTTACAGTGCTTTACTTTACAGTACTTAACTTTACAGTTTCACTTTACAGTGCTCACTTACAGTGCTTTACTTAAACAGTACTTCACTTTACAGTGCTTCACTTTACAGTGCTTTACTTACAGTACTTCACTTTACAGTACTTCACTTACTGTTTACTTTACAGTGCTTACTTTACAGTGCTTCACTTTACAGTGCTTCATTTACAGTGCTCACTTTACAGTGTTAAACTTTACAGTACTTCACTTTAGTGCTTTACTTCAGTGCTTCACTTTACATGCTTCATTTACAGTATTAACTTGCCAATACTTTGCTTTACAGTGCTTCACTTTACAGTGCTTACTTTTACAGTGCTTACTTTACAGTATTCACTTTACAGTACTTCACTTTACAGTGCTTACTTTACAGTTATCACTTTACATATTCACTTTACAGGCTCACTTTACAGTGCTCACTTTACAGTGCTCACTTTACGTGCTTCACTTTACAGTGCTTCACTTTACAGTTTCACTTACAGTGCTTTACTTTACAGTGCTTCACTTTACAGTGCTTTACTTTACAGTGCTTCACTTTACAGTGCTTCACTTTACAGTGCTTCACTTTACAGTGCTTCACTTTACAGTGCTTCACTTTACAGTGCTTCAATTTACAGTGCTTTACTTTACAGTGCTTCACTTTACAGTGTTTCACTAATACAGGAGTTTTCATTTATAATCATCCTTCATTTATTCAGACTTGCTACAATAAATATATTAACCATCACTATAAGCAAGTAATGTGTGTACTGTATATGCATTTTTTAGGTCTAACTCTATTGCTCACTTAATATATGATAGTGTAAACATGTCAGGATTTTATATGCATTTGGAAGTGAGAAAATGCTAAGTTTAACTTTACAGCAGTAGCCCAGAACCTAACCTGCTGTATAAGTGGGGCCCTCCTGTACAGCAGTAGCCCAGAACCTAACCTGCTGTATAATGTGGGCCCTCCTTTACAGCATGAGTCCGAGAACCTAACCTGCTGTATAAGTGGCCCTCCTTACAGCAGTAGCCCAGAACCTAACCTGCTGTATAAGTGGGGCCCTCCTGTACAGCAGTAGCCCAGAACCTAACCTGCTGTATAAGTGGGGCCCTCCTGTACAGCAGTAGCCCAGAACCTAACCTGCTGTATAAGTGGGGCCCTCCTGTACAGCAGTAGTCCAGAACCTAACCTGCTGTATAAGTGGGGCCCTCCTGTACAGCAGTAGTTCAGAACCTAACCTGCTGTATAAGTGGGGCCCTCCTGTACAGCAGTAGCCCAGAACCTAAACCTGCTGTATAAATGGGACCCTTCTGTGCAGCAGTAGTCTGGAACCTAATCTACTGTATAAGCAGAGCCTTCCTGTACAGCAGTAGCCCAGGACCATATCTGGTGTATAAGCGAGGCCCTCCAATATTTTCATTGTATGAGGTGCTGTCGAAAAGTTCCTGTACTGTTGCCATAAATATATAGGCTTACCTAATCACCTAGTCAGCGTTGTCTCCCTGGAAGTATTTTGGGGACCAGGTTATACAGTGATCCAGCACCTAAGACACAATGGGAAACATTTCTGTAGGTCTTCCATCCTAAAAGTGTCCAGCATGACTGTTGATCCTCCTCCAGTGTCCTCTGTGTGTTTATACAATGCTCCTTGAGTTCTGCTTTATATATCTGGGAGAGATAGAAGTTACAGGGGATAGATCTAGGTTTAGGGAGGCTGAGGGATGACTGCCTTGTTGTTTGTGGCCAGAAAACTAGTCTTTTTGATTTTGAGTCAGGAAGTAGGGCATAAGTTTTACAGGTACTGTACATACTTACTCACATCATGATTAAATTTTTGTTCAGAATGGTTTGACACAACCATAAGGAATTCGCACAGCATGTGCAGTGGAAACGAAATGAAAATGAAAATATTTATTTCCTTGCAAATCTTACGTGTGGTTTACATATTATTTAATATTAATTGCAAAGAAGGCCACTAGCATGCCTAGGCATTTCCGGCAGACCAATCCCAGTTCTTACTCTACTGAAACAGGTTATGGAGCAGTACATTTTAATATACCTTATTGCATACTGGTATAAAAGTTACATAACTGAAGTGATTAATTAAATTTATAATAGGGAGGTAGTACAAAACATGTAACAATATTACGGTTAGTAAATTTAGCTATGAGAATGGTTTTGTCTTTGCAAGATACATAGTTTTTATTAAAGCTCCTATACTGGGAGAGTATCTTAGGCAAACTTAGGACTAACTTAACATTTATTAGGCAATAGCTATATTAGGAATTTTGTTTACAGTCGTTTGGGTGAATGTAAGTGTAAATTGGGAGGAGTTACAGATAAGGAGAGTAAGTCTATTTTATTTTGGATGTGTTCAGGATAAAAATAGGAGAATAGGTGGTTTACATATAGTTAGCTGATGGTGGGGTGTGTTAGGGAGATAAGATGTTTTTTAATGGTAGTTTTAAAATGGTGGTCGAGTTCGTAGTTGTAGAATTTTCAGGCAGGGAGTTCCAGATTTTAGGCCCTTTTATGAACATCAAATTTTTGTAGAGGTTTAGCCGGATATGAGGAATGTCATAGTGATTTTTGTGTATGGTATTGTGTGCATAGGTCTTGTTGCAACTATCAAGAAAGTGCTTTAGTTCAGGGTTAATATTAAAATTTATGGTTCTGTAGATGTATGTTGCACAGTAGTAGATGTGAATGTTTTGTACAGTAAGTAAGTTGAGGTCTTTGAAGAGGGGAGGGGTTGTCTAGCACTGGACTGCGTGATAATTCTTACCACAGCTTTTTGTTGGGTTATTATTGGCTTTGGGTGTGTTGCTGCTGTTGATCCCCAGGCACAAATAGCATATGTGAAGTAGGGATAGATGAGTGAATAGTATAGTGCGAGTAGAGCTGATTGCGTGCATAGTAACGTATCTTGGAGAGGATCCCAACTGTTTCGGATACTTTTTTTGTTATGTGTTGGATATGGGTGTTGAATTTCAGGTTGGTGTCAAGTGCAGACCCAAGAATTTGTCCTCATACTCTTGATGATGATCTTAGCTTAATAACATCATTGTTGATGTCTGTTTTTGATGTATGACCAGAGTGTTCATCATCATCATCTGATGTTCATCGTGCTTGTATCAAGAATACCATTCACGACACTGTCCAACCTATTACTTCGTCGCCAAATGTTCACTGAAGCAGTCTGAGCTCCACTACCTCCTTTACCCAGCTTGAAGCAGAATTTCCCACTCTCTCTCTCTGTCTGTCTGTCTGTCTGTCTCTCTCTCTCTTCTCTCTGTCTATGTCTCTCTCTGTTTTTTCTTTAAAATTTTCATTGTTACACAAAAAAATCACAACAGTGCACTAACAGAACCTACTGGTGTCTGTTGTTAAGGTATGAGCTTAGGTATGTAGGTGCATACCACCAGGCTTGCTGGTGGATCAGGATCTAATCCACCAAACTGTTGTTGCTGGTCACATGTCATCCAAAATACAACAAGTGTGAGTTTCCAGTGTCAAAGTTTTTCTGTACATTGCAGGCAGCGGCGGCGCTACTGGAGGTGCGGCAGGAGGCAGTGAAGAGCGAGGGTGTGGCAGCGCTAGAGGTGCGGCAGGAGGCACTGCTGGAGCGACTGCAGCAGCTGCGACAACAGCTGGACCACCTGCTGAGTAATAAAGTGGCTGTCAACACTCGGTCTTCCAGCACTGCCATCATAGGCGCAGCTGCACTCTCCTCACCTGTTAAGGCAGAGTACTCTGCTTTATTTCTGCTTTATTCTCTTGTTATTATTGTACCTACCTACCTGCAACTAGCATTATTATTATTACAGCCTCTCCTCACTTAGCGACGTACTCGTTTACCTACGACTTGGACTTACAACGGTCTCTCTGACCAGTATGTATACCTAAATAATGTATATTAGAGCTATTTCCTCTATTCTGTTTATCACAATATACAGTACACTACTCTACAAACATTTAAAAATATACTAACAATGTTATAAATGGTACAAAGGTGACATTAAAACAATATCAAAGATGGTTGACACAAACCCACTACCATTATAGTATGCTCCTCACTTAGCGATGAATTCGTTTACGACGTGGTCTTAGGTAAGGATCTCCATCACTAAGTGAGGAAAGGCTGTATTACAGTAGACCATTATATAACATGGGTTTATGCATCATGTTTTTATTATAACAAAAATGTGATACATAACAAAAATATGCCGCAAAATTTGCGGCATATTTTTATGTATTTTGAAAATTTACTTAACATGATTCCATTTCGGGGGGGGGGGGGGATTTGAAGCACCGTGAGCTGGACCGAGGGATGTTTTCCCTTCATATAGCAATCTGCCTCTGGGTCAGGCCATTGTCACTGTAGGGGAGGCCTACCATCCTCCCTGCCACCCCTGTCCCAGTATCCATACATACTCATTCTATATGATTCTCAGATCTGTTTGTGAATTGGTCTTTTCATTATCATATCTTTTGTCTACAAGGCACTTTAGAAGCATGCGAGTGATGCTGGAAGTGGTGTGAAAAAGTGTAAGCATTTAAGACTTGTAATTATGAAGAAAATTCAGATATGAGACAAACTTAAAAGTGGTTCACATGTGGTGGACATAGCGAGAGCTTATGGCCTTAATGAAGCATCAGTTTGTACTATTAAAAAGAATGAGGCAAATACAATAGAACCCCCTTATCCACTGGTTTGGTATCTGCGGTTTCAGTTATCCACAGGTTACTGTGGCTTAAAAATATTTCTTAATTTTATATAATAGCACAAAAATAGAGAAGCTGGCAGTTGTTGAAAGCTTAAGAGAAGCTGTGAAGTGCTTCCCATCAGTGAGAAAGTGGTAATTCTATATTGTGCATAATTTATCAATTAAACTTTACAGTATAATAGTTATGTATAGGACTTACATGTAGGGTGTGCTACTATCCACGGTTTTGGTATCCATGCAGGTCCTTGGAACGCATCTCCTGCGGATACGGGGGTCCTGCTGTATGTGGGCTTGTGCAATGAATAACCCAGGTTGTTATATGAAAAGAATGACACATAGATCACAACTCTCTGAATAAACACATTAACTGACTTGACTTACTGACTTACAGATTTGACTTACTGTCTTACAACTTGACTTACAGACTTGACTTACAGACTTGACTTACAGACTTGACTTACAGACTTGACTTACAGACTTGACTTACAGACTTGACTTACAGACTTGACTTACAGACTTGACTTACAGACTTGACTTACAGACTTGACTTACAGACTTGACTTACAGACTTGACTTACAGACTTGACTTACAGACTTGACTTACAGACTTGACTTACAGACTTGACTTACAGACTTGACTTACAGATTTGACTGACTGACTTGACTGACTGACTGACTGACTGACTTGACTGACTTGACTTGACTGACTGACTTGACTGACTGACTTGACTGACTGACTTGACTGACTGACTTGACTGACTGACTTGACTGACTGACTTGACTGACTGACTGACTTGACTGACTGGCTTGACTGACTGGCTGACTTGACTTGACTGACTTGACTGACTGACTTACTTGACTGACTTACTTGACTGACTGACTTGACTGACTGACTTGACTGACTGACTTGACTGACTGACTTGATTTACTGACTGATGTGACTGACTTCACTGACTGACTTGACTACCATCCACCTCAGCCGACAATCAACAACCATCTGCCTCAGCCCAGTAGGGTCACAGCATGCCTCTCTCTTCACAATCCTCTACAAATACCAGCAACCACAATTTAAGGTAAAAAATATTTGTCACATTTGTAGCCTTAAACAATACAAAAGACGTAATACATCACGACAATGAACAACAATTACATAACCATTTTTATTTTTGTAAGATCCAGAGACCTAAAAAAAAAGTTGTTTGGAATTTTGGGGGTCTCAGGAACATAACCCTATTTTTCCCATAAGGTTTTAAGTTTATCTAACATGGGATTTTCAGGAACATAATTACCGTGTTATATAACAGTCTACTGTATTATTATTATTATTATTATAGTTTTATTATTGCGTTTGCTTGATAAAAATACGTCAGATACAATTTAGGTAACTGTATATAATTGTGGGGAAGCACTAGACCTTTCGGGGGTTGTACAGCACCTGGAGAGAGGGGAGGTAATTGAGTTTGATCCAGAGAAAGGGAACAGTGGCTCTGGTTCCTTGGATCAAGAACACTGTTAGTGGCCACAGTAAGAAATTGTGTGATTCTCAGTTTTTTTTTTTTTTTTTTTTTTTGCGATGATGGGTTGTTAATTCGGAGATTACGGTGGGTGCCATAGGAGGAGGGCAGTGATGCTGGAGCAGAAGGTGAATTACAGCGGCTTCAAGAGTCAGTGCTGTTCCGGCTGAGGCGCTTGAGGTCTGAGCTGGACCGGGTCTGCCAAGCAGGTGGGGAAGTGGCATTGCCAGCTGAGCCTATAACCCTGGTCGAGCAGCAGCAGTGCATCCTGGGGGTCATCAAGGCACTCAAGGAAGAGGTGGAGTTTCTGGCATCACTGCACATCAAGGCTGACACTAAGGTCATCAGTCACTTCTCAAGTTTTCTCAGTGACAAACAAATTAACTCGAGATTTTTCAATAGTTTCTCACTGTACTTTAATATCACAGAATATAATATATCTAAGTTCTTTACTAACAACCCAACTTGCTTCAGTTTAACAAAGATTATGAACTTGTATTCTGTAATGTCCCAGATTGTTTCAGTTGGACAACTTGAATTCAACTTTTTCAATTTAACAAAGATAATGAACCTGAATTCTTCAGTATCTTGTTAAATTGCTTTCTCTACATAAGATAAACACCTGAGTGCCATAAGTTATCACAACAAGTGTTGTTAAGAGCTGCCTGGTTGACAATCGATCATTGGTTATCTTCAGGCGTTGCCCACCGAGGTGGACATAACGACGCACCACACACTGGTCGTCAAGAAACTCTACCTGCTACAGGAAGAGTTGGTCAAGATGGTGAGAGGTTTACATAATGCATCATGGGAGGGGCCGCCACCCTGGCGGTGCCGCTTCCACTCTTGCTGTGACCCCTCCAACCTGTCTCCCTCACCAGCGCCGCTTTCGCCACTAGCACCAGCAAGTATATGCGCAGTTTTGTGCGTGTTGACTCGAGCAAGCCTCGTGTGCTCGCCTGGTTGTGCTGTGGTGGTCGAGTTGCAGCTCTTGGCCCTGCTTTACCGATACTAGCCTCTAGTGTGTGATCATATAGATCAAGCGTGACTTCCTCCTCCGTCTGTTCGTCTAGCATAGTTGTACTCAGTTGTGTTTGAAAGGGTTGATTCGCAGCTCTTGGCCCCTCCTAACATTCATCGACTAGCTTTACTCACTGCTGGTATCAAGCGTGTGATCACGCTCTTGAACTGCGTATGAGTGTGTGTGTTCATCTGACGTATTCCACATACAAGACATAGACGTGCTAACATCTGTGTGGTTCAGGCGTATCATGCAACATTTGTGTGTTTTGCAACACCTATGTATCTTGTTTCATCAAGAAAAGACACCCAAGTGTTACACATCTTATCAATAGACACCCAAGTGTTTTACATGTGTCTTCTAAAGATATCCAAGTGTTGCACATGTGTCTTCTAAAGATACCCAGGTGTTACACATGTTTTATTAACAATAATGGTGTGTGGTAGGAAGAGAACCTTCTGCTTCACTATCACCACTTAGGTCTTGCATGCCGTGTGCACACTGTGCACTCAGGTATGCCATTTGTAATGATAAATGTGCTGATTACCTTGCAGAGGTCGACAGTGCATGACCTGGTGATCTCGGCCAGTCCGGAAGCACCACCATTCTCGCTGCTCTTGCTGCGCCGGCTACTGAAGACAGCTGGCATCTCTGTGTATTGTGCCAACCATCTGCACTCCTCTGTGTCACAGGTAACAACCACTTGTCAGTACTTGTTAACCATCAGCCCATTAATGTTACCTGTTTGCAGTTGGCTACAGTCTCTATGTACAGTCGGTTCTTTTTTAAAGCTCCTCTATATACAGTCAGTTCTCCTATAAACATTCTCTATATAAGGACTGCTGGTTTAACCTTAGAACTTAGTTAACTTCACAAGCTCCAAAAAAAGTTTTTAAATAATTCCATTAAATATAGAAAGAGTCAGAAATGGTACTGTCTCTACTCACCATAAGCTCACTTTATGATAGAAGACTTAGGTTAGGTTAGGTAAGGTTTGTCAGGAAAGAGGACAAGTGTTTCCTGATGTGGGTCTTAGTCACGTGATGACCCGCAGCTGGAGCTTTTGGTCATCTGACAGAAGCCTTCCACTGGCTAACCAGTCTATCACTTTAAAAATTACGGTTATGACCCATTAAGAGTTTGTTGATGTTGAGTACACTTCTGATGTTGTAATCCTAGATGGTCACAGTAAACAGTCTCTCCTGTACTGTAAGCCCCGGACTTACAAACACATTGTGTATAATATTCATGATACAGAAAGTCTTCAACTTAAACATGTGTTGGGGACCTTCTGTATTGTGTATAATAATGATATTATACACAATAATATAATATTTTTTTTTCAACAAGTCGGTCATCTCCCACCTAGGCAGGGTGACACAAAAAGAAAGAAAATCCCCAAAACGAAAATACTTTCATCATCATTTAACACTTTCACTTCACTCACACATAATCACTGTTTTTGCAGAGGTGCTCAGATACAACAGTTTAAAGGCATATATAAAGATACAGTATAAAGAGTGATCTGAAATAATATAATAAACTCCCTGTAGAATATAATATCAGGGCCCCAATTATATATATACTGTCCTGTTACACATCCCTCCAAACTGCCAATATCTCAAACCCCTCCTTTAAAGTGCAGGCATTGTACTTCCCATTTCCAGAACTCGAGTCCGGCTATTGGATATTGGCAGTTTGGAGGGATATGTTGTGTATCTTTATATGTACAGTGGTCCCTCGTTTTTCGTAATTAATCCGTTCCTGGAGCCGTTACTATAAACAAAATTTATGATTTGCGAATCAATTTTCCCCATAAGAAATAATGTAATACAATTAATCCGTTCCTGACACCCAGAAGTATTAAAACAAAAAAATTTTTTACATGAAATGTAGATGTAGTACATAAACAATACAATGGGAAATGATGAATGAAACATTAACAGCATAACACTTACCTTTATTGGAGATTCTTCTTAGTGTATGGGAGACTGGAGGAGGAGAGTGGATTGTTTATAGTTTGGAAGGGGAATCCCCTTCCATCAACACCTCAGGTACCAATTGCTTCTCTGGGGTTGCTTCTCTTCTCTGTTTCTTAATGCCACTAGGACCACCTTGAGAGTCACTCTAGTCCTGTCTCGCAAAGTAACTGTGGAGAGAGCTCTGTTTCTGGCATCTCTTTAACACTTCCCTAAAATGGCCCAAGACTTTGTCACTGTACATATTTCTCACCTTTACCACAGGCTTGGCACTAGGAGCTTTCTTTGGAGCCATGGTAGCTTATTTAGTACTTGCAAGCACTAAAATGAGTGGAATATTATGAAATATTTCATAGGAGCACTTGAGGGGACCTTCACTCACTGGTAAACAATGCCAGACTGGCTGGGTAGGGAGGCTGCCTCGGCTCACACCGTGCATACGCGTCCCGGACGAACTACTATTCGCGAGTCAACCTATGAAAAGCGAGTCCATGTTTATATGAAAATACCCCTATGATTTGGCGAAATTTACGATTGCCGAGAACTAAGAAAAGCGAGGGACCACTGTATATGGCTTCGAACCAAATGACTTCGAACAGGCGATAAATGACATGCCCATGCACTCTGCCCCAGGGCCAGACTCATGGAACTCCGTGTTCATCAAGAACTGCAAGAAGCCCCTATCACGAGCCTTTTCCATCCTATGGAGAGGGAGCATGGACACGGGGGTCGTCCCACAGTTACTGAAAACAACAGACGTAGCCCCACTCCACAAAGGGGGCAGTAAAGCAACAGCAAAGAACTACAGACCGATAGCACTAACATCCCATATCATAAAAATCTTTGAAAGGGTCCTAAGAAGCAAGATCACCACCCATCTAGAAACCTATCAGTTACACAACCCAGGGCAACATGGGTTTAGAACAAGTCGCTCCTGTCTGTCTCAACTATTGGATCACTACGACAAGGTCCTAAATGCACTAGAAGATAAAAAGAATGCTGATGTAATATATACAGACTTTGCAAAAGCCTTCGACAAGTGTGACCATGGCGTAATAGCGCACAAAATGCGTGCTAAAGGGATAACAGGAAAAGTCGGTCGATGGATCTATAATTTCCTCACTAACAGAACACAGAGAGTAGTCGTCAACAGAGTAAAGTCCGAGGCAGCTACGGTGAAAAGCTCTGTTCCACAAGGCACAGTACTCGCTCCCATCTTGTTCCTCATCCTCATATCCGACATAGACAAGGATGTCAGCCACAGCACCGTGCTTCCTTTGCAGATGACACCCGAATCTGCATGACAGTGTCTTCCATTGCAGACACTGCAAGGCTCCAGGCTGGACATCAACCAAATCTTTCAGTGGGCTGCAGAAAACAATATGAAGTTCAATGATGAGAAATTTTAATTACTCAGATATGGTAAACACGAGGAAATTAAATCTTCATCAGAGTACAAAACAAATTCTGGCCACAAAATAGAGCGAAACACCAACGTCAAAGACCTGGGAGTGATCATGTCGGAGGATCTCGACCTTCAAGGACCATAACATTGTTCAATCGCATCTGCTAGAAAAATGACAGGATGGATAATGAGAACCTTCAAAACTAGGGAAGCCAAGCCCATGATGACACTCTTCAGGTCACTTGTTCTATCTAGGCTGGAATATTGCTGCACACTAACAGCACCTTTCAAGGCAGGTGAAATTGCTGACCTAGAAAATGTACAGAGAACCTTCACGGCGCGCATAACGGAGATAAAACACCTCAATTACTGGGAGCGCTTGAGGTTCCTGAACCTGTATTCCCTGGAACGCAGGCGGGAGAGATACATGATTATATACACCTGGAAAATCCTAGAGGGACTAGTACCGAACTTGCACACGAAAATCACTCACTACGAAAGCAAAAGACTTGGCAGACGATGCAACATCCCCCCAATGAAAAGCAGGGGTGTCACTAGCACGTTAAGAGACCATACAATAAGTGTCAGGGGTCCGAGACTGTTCAACTGCCTCCCAGCATACATAAGGGGGATTACCAACAGACCCCAGGCAGTCTTCAAGCTGGCACTGGAAAAGCACCTTAAGTCGGTTCCTGACCAGCCGGGCTGTGACTCGTATGTTGGTTTGCGTGCAGCCATCAGCAACAGCCTGGTTGATCAGGCTCTGATCCACCAGGAGGCCTGGTCACAGACCGGGCTGCAGGGGCGTTGACCCCCGGAACTCTCTCCAGGTAAACTCCAGGTAATATGCTTCTAAACTGTTGTGTTCTGAGCACCTCTGCAAAAACAGTGATTTTGTGTGTGTGGTGAAAGTGTTGAATGATGATGAAAGTATTTTCTTTCTGGGGATTTTCTTTCTTTTTTGGGTCACCCTTCCTCGGTGGGAGACGGCTGACTTGTCTGGGGAAAAAAAAAAAAAAAAAAAAAAAGGAGTCCGGCTATATAAAAATAACTGGTTTCCCCTGAATCCCTTCACTAAATATTACCCTGCTCACACTCCAACAGCTCGTCAGGTCCCAAAAACCATTCGTCTCCACTCACTCCTATCTAACACGCTCACGCACGCTTGCTGTAAGTCCAAGCCCCTTGCCCACAAAACCTCCTTTACCCCCTCCCCCCAACCTTTTCAAGGACGACCCTTATCCCGCCTTCCTTCCCCTAAAGATTTATACGCTCTCCATGTCATTCTACTCTGATCCATTCTCTCTAAATGACCAAACCACCTCAACAACCCCTCTTCAGCCCTCTGACTAATACTTTTATTAACTCCACACCTTCTCCTAATTTCTACACCGAATTCTCTGCATAATATTTATACTTCACATTGCCCTTAGACAGGACATCTCCACTGCCTCCAACCACCTCCTCATTGCAGCATTTACAACCCAAGCTTCACACCCATACAAGAGTGTTGGTACCACTATACTTTCATACATTCCCTTCTTTGCCTCCATAATGATGTAACATTTTTTGTCTCCACATATACCTCAATGCACCACTCACCTTTTTTTCCCTCATCAATTCTATGGTTAACCTCATCTTTCATTAACCCATCCACTGACACATCAACTCCCAAATATCTGAAAACATTCACTTCTTCCATACTCCTTCTCTCCAATGTGATATCTAATTTTTCTTTATCTAAATCATTTGATACTCTCATCACCTTACTCTTATCTATGTTCACTTTCAACTTTCTACCTTTACGCACTTTCCCAAACTCGTCCACTAACCTTTGCAACTTTTCTTTAGAATCTCCCATAAGCACAGTATCGTCAGCAGAAAGTAGCTGTGTCAAATCTCATTTTGTATTTGATTCCCCATAATTTAATCCCACCCCTCTCCCGAACACCCTAGCATTTACTTCTTTTACAACCCCATCTATAAATGTATTAAACAACCATGGTGACATTACACATCCCTGTCTAAGACCTACTTTTACTGGGAAGTAGTCTCCCTCTCTTCTACACACCCTAACCTGAGCCTCACTATCCTCATTAAAACTCTTTACATCATTTAATAACTTATTACCTATTCTTTATACTTGCAACATCTGCCACATTGCTTCCCTATCCACTCTATCATATGCCTTTTCTAAATCCATAAATGGAATGAAAACTTCCCTACCTTTATCTAAATACTGTTCACATATATGCTTCAATGTAAACACTTGATCTACACATCCCCTACCCACTCTAAAACCTCTTTGCTCATCCGCAATCCTGTCTCTGTCTTACCTCTAATTATTCTTTCAATAATAACTCTACCATACACTTTTCCTTGTATACTCAGTAAACTAATTCCTCGATAATTTTTGCAATCTCTTTTGTCCCCCTTCCCTTCACGATTGCGGTAACTAGTGACATGGTCCACAGACAAATAGAGAAACTAAAACCTAACAAATCCCCAGGTCCTGATGAACTGTTTGCAAGGGTGTTAAAGGAATGTAAAGAGGATCTTAGCATACCTTTGGCTAATCTTTTTAACATATCACTACAAACTGGCATAGTGCCTAATAAGTGGAAAATGGCAAATGTAATACCTATTTACAGGGCAGTGACAGGCCCTTTGCTTTGAACTATAGTGGGAAAATTTATGGAATCAATAATTGCCGAAGCAATTCGTAGCCATCTTGATAGGCACAGATTGATTAATGAATCTCAACACGGTTTTACAAAGGGGCGTTCCTGTCTTACGAATTTACTAACTTTTTTCACTAAGGTGTTTGAGGAGGTAGATCATGGTAATGAATATGACATTGTGTATATGGACTTCAGTAAGGCTTTCGATAAAGTTCCACACCAGGGCTATTGAGGAAACTTAAGGCACATGGAATAGGAGGAGAAATTTTTTTGTGGGTAGAGGCATGGCTAACAAATAGGCAGCAGAGTGTTTGCATAAATGGGGAGAAATCAGAATGGGGGCACATCACAAGCGGTGTTCCACAGGTGTCAGTGTTGGGCCCATTGTTGTTCACAATTTACATAAACGACATAGATGAGGGAATAAATAGCGACATAAGCAAATTTGCTGATGACACCAAAATAGGCCGTCCAATTCATTCTAATGAGGACACTAGAGCACTCCAAGATTATTTGAATAGACTGATACAATGGTCAGAGAAGTGGCAGATGCAGTTAAATATTGACAAATGCAAAGTTCTAAATGTTGGACAGGTAAATAACCATGCCACATATAAACTAAATTATGTATATCTTAATATACTACTGATTGCGAACAGGATTTAGGAGTTCTGGTTAGCAGTAATCTAAAACCAAGACAACAGTGCATTAGTGTTCACAATAAAGCTAACAGAATTCTTGGCTTCATATCTAGAAGTATAAATAATAGGAGTTCTCAGGTTGTTCTTTAACTCTATATATCCTTGGTTAGGCCTCATTTAGACTATGCTGCTCAGTTCTGGTCACCGTATTACAGAATGGATATAAATGCTCTGGAAAACGTACAGAGGAGGATGACAAAGATGATCCCATGTATCAGAAATCTTCCCTATGAGGATAGACTGAGGGCCCTGAATCCGCACTCTCTCGAAAGGGGTAGAATTAGGGGGATATGATCAAGGTGTATAAATGTAAAATAGGAATAAATAAAGGGGATGTAAATAGCGTAGCTGAAAATTTCCAGCCAAGACAGGACTCGCAGCAATGGTTTCAAGTTGGAAAAGTTCAGATTCAGGAAGGATATAGGAAAGCACTGGTTTGGTAATAGAGTTGTGGATGAGTGGAACAAATTCCGAGTACAGTTATTCAGGCTAAAATGTTGTGTAGTTTTAAAAATAGGTTAGATAAATACATGAGTGGGTGTGGGTGGGTGTGAGTTGAACCTGACTAGCTCGTGCTGCTGGGTCTGGTGCCGTGCTCCTTTTTTGAGTGGAGGTGGCCAACTGGGTGGGTCATTGGGCTATTCTGGGGGAGGGGGGGGTCATTGGGCTTATCTGGGGGATGGACATGGACCTGCTCTGAATGGGTCAGTAGGCCTGTTGCAGTGTTCCTTCTTTCTTATGTTCTTATGTTCATATAAAGGAACTATACATGCCATCTGCCAATCCTTAGGTACCTTCCCCTCTTTCATACATTTATTAAACAAAATTACCAACCACTCTAACACTTTATCCCTCCCCCTGCTTTTAACATTTCTGTCATGATCCCGAGAGTTCCTGCTGCTTTACCTCCTTTCATTCTGCGTAATGCCTCACGCACCTCCCCCACACTCATATCTTGCTCTTGTTCACTCCTAAAAGATGTTATACCTCCCTGGCCAGTGCATGAAACGACTGCCTTCCTTTCTTTGTCGACATTTAAAAGTTCCTCAAAATATTCCCACCATCTACCTAATACCTCTAGCTCCCCATCAACTAACTCCCCTACTCTGTTTTTAACTGACAAATCTATTCATTCCCTAGGCTTTCTTAACTTGTTTCTCACTTTTTTTCTTGTTTTCATTAAAATTTCTTGACAGTGCCTCTCCCACTCTATCATCTGCTCTCCTTTTGCACTCTCTCACCACTCTCTTCACCTTTCTTTTACTCTCCATATACTCTGCTCTTCTTATAACACTTCTGCTTTGTAAAAACCTCTCATAAGCTAACTTTTTCTCTTTTATCACACCCTTTACTTCATCATTTCACCAATAATGATATAATAATGATATACACAATACAGAAAATTCTCAACACATTTGAAAGTCGGGAAGTTGGTGTACACTATGTTTATTAAAGCACTGTTGTTTTTAACCACAGGTTAGTGAGAGACTACAACACTGGTTCATGGATCAAGACCCAGATGGTCGCAGTAGTTGCAGAGTAGCGTTCACCTTACACTGGAAAGACGCGAGGGTGCCCAGCTTAATGGTACGTCACTCGTCGTCCCGTTAAAACCATGTCCATCCTTGTCTTGGTGTTAACCAGTGTTTACATTGCATATATTGTATAGCACATCCTGTTTATACTATCTTTGTATGTTGTCCTAGCTGGTGTGTATGTTGTCCTAGCTGGTGCTTATGCAGCATCCTCGCTAGCAGTCGTTAACTTGTTGCATTGTTGCAGGTGGACCCGCTCCGTCAAACGACCAATATCAGGAGAGGTGAATATCGTGCGTTATGTGTCCCGGCTCTTCCCACTGTCATCGCCATACAATTATGAAGCCTCTGGAACCTTTGCCACCATAACGGAAACAGATCACGTTCTGGATCAGTTATCAAGGCAGTTGACTGAGGGTAACAACCGAGAGAGACAGGCAGCACTCAGGCAGTTAAATGCACGGTAATTACCAGTCATTATTATTATTACTTTTAAAATGATTGGTAGGTATTAAACCTGTCATTTTTGCACATTGATTAAGCAGGCTGTGACGGATGTGTGGGCCAACGCTTCGCCAGCAGCAACAGCCTGGTATACCAGACAAGCCTGGTCCATCCTTCAAGTTCAACTGACTGGTTTTCCTCCGTCCGAGTCTTCACTTCAACTTGCTCACACAAGTCCCCGTCACTCAAAACCCTCACAGTTTCCTCGGAAACCTTCTTGGGATGACCTTTGTTCTTTGAGCCTGGGTTTATACACCCTCTGGGTCATCCTTTTCTGCTCCATCCTTTCTAACTGCCCAGACTGCTTCAACAACCATTGCAGTGAACTCTGACTAGTGTTATGGTTGTAGGGGATAATGAAAGGGAGAGTAATAACTGTGTTCTCTTGAAGTCACTGGATAACAACCACAAACGATCTATAGATGATCGAATATAAACAGAACAACAAACATAGGATTTAATTCTCTCACAGCTCCCAACATTACTTCCCTCCTAAATTACATTATATCATACCAATTCAATACAAAGATTACCTTATCAACAAAACTAATTTTATAAATTCAATCTATCTGGAGGTTGAACCACTCTTTTTGGAATGCCTGAGATATGGAGCGTTGGCATTGTCCTGAGGCACTGCCTCTCCTCTCTCACTCTTGTTTCTATCATCAAACCTTCCAGCAGCATCTTCCTGCATACTAACCTGATCCTTAAGTTTATTACCACTATTATCTTTTGTGGGCAGTTACTCCAACCATAAAGGTGCCCTGTTCCTATACTGGCCAGGAATTACCAACCTACATCTTACAGTTTCTGGTACTGTTGGAATCAGTGTTCGTTCTCCATCAGTCCTAAACTTTGACACGAGTTGATCTATATGCCTTTTCCATATATTACCAAAGCCTTTAATTTACATTTTATAATTCCTAACTCGTAATACCCCCACAGTCTTTCCTTCTACCCAAGGTTTACCTCTCCCAAAATTTCTGGCATACACAGCATCATCAACTTGCAGTTGCTTCTATCCCCCTGAAGTTCACCAGCAGCCATGTTAGACATGACATTTGACAGCCAATACTGGGACTTTAAAATTTCTGCTGTTGTCTTACCAGTGGAGGAATGAACAGTTTTCCTATCGTTGTACAAGAACCTACATAATCTGGTATTGTAAATTTGTGTAAACGTTCCTTCAGTGTCCTACTTTCCTCTCTGCCAGACCATTTGATGATAGATGGTGTGGGGCTCGAGTAATATGTTCAGTACTATTATTAATAAAGAAAGTTTCCAGCTCTTGTGATACACAGTATGCAGCATTATCTGACAACTATTCTGGAAACCCCAAAATTTACAAAAGGATTTCCTCGCAACTCAGCAGTAATCTGGAGACATGGAACTGTTACTTGTTCATTTTGAATTTTGAAAGGGAAACCTAAAATTTTGTTAAAAAAAAATTTTTGCCTTCCACTGCATAGTTTACATCCTCAGACCGGGTTTTTCCCATGCTCCCCCAAGATGGTACGGGAAGAAAAGGGCTGAAATTTAAAACAAATTGGGCAATTTTTTGGTCATTTTCCCAAATACTTGGTCAGTTTTTTACCCCACCAGACCCACTTCTTGTTTCTGTTTTCTAGCACGATACATTAACCCATATGAACGCTCTGAAAAACTTACATCTTAATTCCCCAGCACTACCATCTTCCCTATACAATAATACATCCTCATAATAGCCCAGGTTGATTTGATGGAATTATAGTCAATAAAGGTACACTTTTCTTACACCTCTATATTTAACATTACTTACTATTTGGGATAACACGCATCTTCCAAAATATCAAATTAATATCTTGGAAAACCAGAGACACTATTTAAACTTTATATTCCATAGGTATAACAGCCTCATTTATCAGGCCCCGTCCACCGGGGGCCTGGTCATGGACGGGGTGCGGGGGGATTGGGCCCCGGGAAAACCCCCCGGTAGTTCCAGCCTTTAAAACAATTCAAATCTTTTTTTCTTTTACACCCCTGAAACCCAGAGCGGTGGCCCAAAGGAAATGAAGCTTCCCCTTTTACATTTTAATATACAGAAGAAGGTTACTAGCCCCTTGCCTCGCATTTTAGTCGCCTCTTACGACCATGCTTATTTAAAAAATTCTGTTCCACTTCCCTGTAGATAAATATAAAAACAGATTAGAAGAAATAGAAGAAAACCCAAGGGTGTGTATATATATCTTGATATAGATTTGAAATATCTAATGTAAGTATTGCAAGACGTACCTGAAATCTTTATTTCATGAGACAGAAAAAGGACACCAGCAATCACCCTTTAAAAAATTACAGGCTTTCTTTTCACCACTTGGCAGACGGTAGTACCTCCTGGGAGTTGCCACCAAAAACCCCAATTCATAATCATACTGAACTAATAACAGCCCAACACTGAATTCCGGCATTTGTATTTGCTGGCGTCTGTTTCCCTTTCCCAAATAACCCCAGCAGTGGTTTATGATCTGTGTGAGCAACACTCTTTCTTTCTAGCAAGAAATATCTGAATTTCTTAACAGCAACACTAAAGCTAAACCTTCTTTATCAAGTTGAGAATAATTCTGTCCTGCTGGAAAAAGTTTTTTATCAACAAAATATACAGGTTTTTCCTGGCCATTTAGTTCCTGGATTAACACCTCCAACAGCCACAGAGGAAGCATCAACCTCAAGTATTAATGGATGTTCTGTAAAATTAGTCAACGAGGCTGAATAATCTCAGGTCTTTTTAATCCTTTGAACAGCCTCCTCTTCCACTGAAGACCACTCAAGATTTTTCAATAACTCATACAGTTGTGCCAAAATTAGAGAAATTCTTAATAAATTTACAATATGTCACCATCTCCACAAAGGACTGAACTTCCTCTATGGACTTAAGAGACGGTAACTTTACAATAGCCTCAATCTTCTTAGCAGAAGGTTCAATGCCTTCCCCTGAAATCTCATACCCCAGATATTCAGTAGATCTGGTTTTCAACACTGACTTAATCTTATTTGGTACTACATTATACTCTTGAGTCTAGCATCATGCTGAGCTTCTGTGGCACCACATATTATGATATCATCCATACAGAATGCTACTCCTTCCAATCTAACAAATAATTGGGAAATAAATCTTTGAAAGACACCATGTTGGTATTAATTGACTGAAATACATTGACTCCTCTCATCTACTGGTATCTGTAAATATGTATCCTTCAAATCTAATTTTGTAAATATCTTGCCTTTACGAACTACTGACAATAATTCTTCAATCCTAAGTAAAGGATATCTCTCACAATGAATCTGTTGATCAATATCATTTAAAATCCTCACATATCCTGATAGACTTAGAGTCGACCTTTAATACAGATACAATAGGTGCGGACCACTCACTGTGGAACATAGGCTCAGTAATCCCTCTATTAGCTTTTCTAATTCTGCTTCAATCATTTCTTTGTGAAAGCAAGGTACCGACCTTGTTTTTGTGAAGACACAGCGTCACTTTTCACGTGAATTGTGGCCACCATGCTGGAGATGGTCTTACTAAGATCTGCTTTAAAATTATCTAACATTATTAATTTTGGTAGATTCATCTAATCCAGCAAGGTAAATCCCTGCCTTTCCCATGAGGGCTTTTCCACACAAGTTACTATTTTTTGACTTTGCTACATAAAACTCTGGTGATACCTCTTAAGTTATAGTTTACAGGCAAAACAACCTTACCCAAAAGGTTTGTTTTCCAATTATCATATGCAGTTACCTTCTTAGAACATGGTTCAGTGTGCCCATATAATGCTTCGACCAAGTCTTTGGATAATGTTGAGATGGACACCTCACTGTCAGTCTTAAAAGGAACCTGTTTGTTATTAATTACAAAACCATATTGTTCAGCCTTCATGGAAAACACTTTTCCTCCACATCACACAAACTCATCACTCCTTCGTTTGCTCAACTATTTTCCCCATCAAGCACCTTAACTGTCTTTGTTTTAGGATATCTTGGTGACTGCTGTTTCTTTACTGTTCCCTTTTTGTCACTACTCATTTTGATACATCCTTAGAATACACTTTAGATGCTTCTTTAACACTCTTCAAGTGACCCTTCTTATGAACACAAGTGACAGAAACTATTTCAATTTACAACTAACACTACTATTCTGGAAACCACAATGTTTATATCTTCGTATCATTAATTACTTGCACCTCCGGACCAGTGTGCCTCTCACTAACAGAAGTCTGCTCTAAGTTCACAAGTCTCTCCAAATTTTTGCAGATTGCATACTTTGCAAGTCCAGTTTTTATACATTTTTTTTTTTTTTTAACACACCAGGCCGTATCCCACCAAGACAGGGTGGCCCAAAAGGAAAAACGAAAGTTTCTCCTTTTACATTTAGTAATATATACAGGAGAAGGGGTTACTAGCCCCTTGCTCCTGGCATTTTAGTCGCCTCTTACAACACACATGGCTTACAGAGGAAGAATTCTGTTCCACTTCCCCATGGAGATAAGAGGAAATAAACAAGAACAAGAACTAGTAAGAAAACAGAAGAAAACCCAGAGGGGTGTGTATATATATGCTTGTACATGTATGTGTAGTGTGACCTAAGTGTAAGTAGAAGTAGCAAGACGTACCTGAAATCTTGCATGTTTGTGAGACAGAAAAAAGGACACCAGCAATCCTACCATCATGTAAAACAATTACAGGCTTTCGTTTTACACTCACTTGGCAGGACGGTAGTACCTCCCTGGGCGGTTGCTGTCCACCAACCTACTACCTAGGCTTTTACACATCTAAGTTAGGGAAATAAATTTCATTCACCACTGTCATGAATAATTGATTTCTAACTCAGGCATCAGACTGATTCTCATAGTTACATTTATGTGTCAAAACCTTTAAATCTGCATACAGTTCATGCATGGACTCATCATGTTATTTCTTCCTTTGTTGAAATACCAACAAGCTGCAGTGATAGGCTGGTTTCACAGTGTAATAACTCTTCATTGCTACTACTAAGTCATTATAACATTTTGTGTGTGGTAAATCTGGCACACACATTACCCAGAACACTGAGTTTCTGATCCCAGGGAAACTAGCAAGAAGTTCCTCTACTTTTCCTGCTCTGTGATTCCCAAATGTGCAAAATTGGCTTTCGACAATCTTAGCAAAGCTCCAAAGAGATTTTTGATGGATCAGAAGTCTCCAACCTTGCCTGTGATGCCGCCATGTTGCACACACATTGCTGCAGTAGCTCCTATGCAACAATCACCACTCTGCTACAACATCTTCATGACTTCAGCAAGACATTGCCTCAATAACCTTGGCTTCATAATTCCATCCTCGTAGCCACTGTTATGGTTGTAGGGGGTAATGAAAACCAATAACAGTGTATTCCCTGGAAGTCACTGGATAACATCCACAAACAATCAACACCACAACATCTATAAACAGTCAAGCATAAACAAAATAACAAACATAGGATTTAATTCTCTTACCGTTCCCAACACCTTACACCTCTGTCACTTACAACCCTTACAGTTTCCTTGGAATCCTTCCTGGGATGATGATTGCTCTGTGAGCCTGGGTTTATGTACCTTCTGGGTCATCCTGGTCTGCTCATTCCTCTCTAAATGCCTAAACTACCTCATCAAGCATTGCAGTGACCTCTGACTAGTTCCTTTCCTTACATAACCCCTCATCCTCCAATTTCTAAAACCTTGTTCCTCTGTTTCAATGTCAACACTGTTCTTCACATTCCCAGCCTTATAAAACCTTGTCTCCCTAATTGGTGTGCTAGTTGTACTTAATAAATACATTATTATGCTGTAACTTTGTCCAAAAAACTCACCCTGGATAATAGTTTCGTATTCCTAATAAGGTTAATGTGCAATTTTAACTTAGTGTAAAAGCAATCCTCCGTAAGACAGGCGATGAAGTGATATGATTGAGGAATGTTTTTTTTTTGGGCCACCTTCCTTTGTGAATCGCTGATGTATTAAAAAAAAATAATTCCCAATATTAATCCAAACCTTTTCCAAACATGCAAGATATTCTCTCTCTCATGGTAAGTTGTTTGTTTAGGTACAGGTTCACATCAGTACAATTACCTTAACATATGTGTAAATTAGCAGGATAACCCCAAAATGTCAGTAAAGTGACTATTTCCATTGATAACGCTGCTAACGACCTCGTTGCAGTAGTAGGAGACATTGTTGCAAGTGGACAGGGCTTTATAATAGGTGGTCAGATGAACTTGTTGATACATTGTCTTACTCAACCTTGTTCCTCAGACTTGGGAAGACTGGATGGTTGATGGGGACCTCATGTAGCATCGTTGATGTCTTGGCTTGGTCGTTGATGAGACAGAAAGCGATGGTTGATGCTGGTGCACCAGCCAATGTTGTTAAGTGGTACAAGACTGTCAACACACTGGCTGACTTAGGTAAGTGGTACAAGACTGTCAAAACACTGGCTAACTCAGTAAGTGGGTACACGTGACTTAGCTATCCCTGGCTGACCTTGACGCTATGTACAAGGCTGCATCACCAGGGCTGATTAGCTAAAGAGGGGGGCCCAGGAACTGACATTCTACCCTTTCGACGCGCATGTAAGGCAAGTGGCAAACTTGCAGCATCAATCAACAGCTTATTCTGGCACCGTTGATGTGGTGTGTGTTGTGGTCACAGTGATATTACTGAACAGTGTTAGTAGGTTAGTAGTGTTCACATGTGAAGGTCACAGGTGGGGCATAAAGCAGGTCACAGGTGGGGCATAAAGCAGGTCACAGGTGGGGCATAAAGCAGGTCACAGGTGGGGCATAAAGCAGGTCACAGGTGGGGCATAAAGCAGGTCACAGGTGCTGTTCAGATTTACAATGTGTTGATTTTTGTAGCGCCTTGCCCGACTGCCGCGACGCTGCGGAATTCAACGAACAGATGAATAATTTTAACGTGAGGGTGCTGAGGCTGTGAATTGTAGACCGTTAGTGTAGTGGGGTGTACTATAGTGTACAGTAAACCTGGAGTATACCTGGAGGGTGTTCCTGGGGTCAGCACTCCTGTGACCCAGTCCATGACCAGGCTTCATGGTGGATCAAGGCCTGATCAACCAGGCTGTTACTGTTTTTTCAAAGTCTTGTGGTGTTAAGATTATTTCAGAAATTCTTGAATTAACCAAGTTTTGAGTTTCGGTCATAAAAAATCCACTTAGATTGCCGACCCTTAGTCTGATTAATGGCTCACTGAACGCTGAGTCATACTGGGACTTCAGTATATCTCTCATTTCTTTTCGGTCATCTTTATAAGTCCCATCTTGTTTAAGCAGTGGTCCAATATGGGATGTATTTTTTGCTTTAGATTTGGCCTAAGCTTGGTAAGACGTCTGACTATGTATGTTGACATTAACCGATGTGTTCTGGTTTACAGGTGAATCTTGGTGAATACGGCAGTTAAATTGGAGTCAAAAACGTCGGATTTGCAGCAAAGGCGTTGTGGTGGATGGCACTGGGCTCCAGGCTTAGCTGCGTCACCCTATATGTCCTGGACAACACCAGGTGCCAGGCAGGGCTGTGCCACTCTTCATGTCCTGGACAGCTCAGCTCTACATGGTTTGCCACTATCAGGGCTGTGGTACACAGCGGCCGTCATCTTAAATAAACGATTACGTTGAATGCGTATTTCTGTACTACCTGGGGAGGGGGTGTTGTGGGGGTCAATGACCCTCGTGGCCTGGTCCACGACCAGGCCTGGCAGTGGATCATGGATCATCCAGGCTGTTACTGCCAGTTACATGTATTACAGTACAGGAACCACAGTCTGGCTGGTCAGGTACTGTCTTTAGGTTTCTGTCCAGCTCCCTCTTGACAGTCAGGGATCTGGAAGACAGCCAGGGGTCTGGAAGATACCCAGGGGTCTTGAAGATAGCTAGGGGTCTGGAAGATGGCCAAGGGTCTAGAAGACAGCTAGGGGTCTGGAAGACAGCTAGGGGTATTGAAGATAGCCAGGGGTTTTGAAGACAGCCTGGAGTCTTGAAGACAGCCAGGGGGGTATATTGGTAATCCCCTTATGTATGCTGGGAGGCAGTTGAACAGTCTTGGGCCCCAGACACTTATTGTGTTGCCTCTCAGTGTACTCATGGTGCCCCTGCTTTTCATTGGGGAAATGTTGCACCTCCTGCCGAGTCTTTGGCTTTCATAGGGAGTGATTTTCGTGTGCAGATTTGGGACAAGTCCCTCTAGGATTTTCTGAGCGTATATTATCGTGTATCTTTTTTGCCTGCATTCCAGGGAGTACAAATCAAGGGACTTAACGGTTCCCAGTAATTTAGGTGCTTTATTGTACTTAAGTAGACTGCCTCAGGACACAACTTAGGTACACTGCCTCAGGACACAACTTAGGTACACTGCCTCAGGACACAACTTAGGTACACTACCTCAGGACACAACTTAGGTACACTGCCTCAGGACACAACTTAGGTCACACTACCTCAGGACACAACTTAGGTAGACTGCCTCAGGACACAACTTAGGTACACTACCTCAGGACACAACTTAGGTACACTGCCTCAGGACACAACTTAGGTACACTGCCTCAGGACACAACTTAGGTACACTGCCTCAGGACACAACTTAGGTACACTGCCTCAGGACACAACTTAGGTACACTGCCTCAGGACACAACTTAGGTACACTGCCTCAGGACACAACTTAGGTACACTGCCTCAGGACACAACTTAGGTACACTGCCTCAGGACACAACTTAGGTACACTACCTCAGGACACAACTTAGGTAGACTACCTCAGGACACAACTTAGGTACACTACCTCAGGACACAACTTAGGTACACTACCTCAGGACACAACTTAGGTACACTGCCTCAGGACACAACTTAGGTACACTGCCTCAGGACACAATTAAGATCTCTCTTCGACTACATGAGGAGTCATCAGTAAATCATTTTATTACTGACCTATGTAACATTAACTGGGCGAGTTAGCGGACACCCACGACACTGATCAATGTCTTAAAATATTTCTACATGACACCCAAAACCTCTATAATAAACAATGTCCAATGATAATGAAGCAGATCTCAACAAAGAGACCAAACAGCCCCTGACTTACAAGTAGTATCCTTAAATCTAACGATGAAAAACATCTATGTAAAAAAAAATACAAACAAGGAATAATAACAGAAGTTAGTTTAATAAGTTTATTATGCAGCCGATACCCATCCTGTGGGAGGTAGTCAAAAGATTACAGAGGTACATAATGGGTCCAGGGACTGTACCTCAACATTACAGATGTACATAATGGGTCCAGGGACTGTACCTCAACATTACAGATGTACATAATGGGTCCAGGGACTGTATTTCAACATTACAGAAGAACTTAGAAAATTTTACACATCAATATTTACTAATCTAATACGAAAGTCCAAACAAATGTATCATTTAAACAGATTTAATGAAATGAAATATGAAAAAACCTGGAAAACCCTCTTTGAAATTTTGGGCTGTAGAAAACTGTCTAGTAACAGAGATTAAGTTAGTGACACCAGACGAGCCTCACATACAGCCTATACACACTGCTAACAAACTTCAATGTCTTCTTTTCCATTATAGAATCAAAACTAGCAAGTAAAATGCCAAAAACAAATACTGAGCCAGAAGACTGAGTCATGAAAGACTACCTCACTGGTAATTACCTAAATATATTCAGCATTAACAAATCCTACTGAAGTCTCACTAATAATTAAATCATTCAGATACAAGACACGAGACCTAAATAACTTGCCAAGAATCATGTATAAATAAGCAGCTCATGTGTTGTCCCTCATTATTGCAACAATGTTTAACAAATCTATTGAATCTTTAACCTCGCCATCCAGACTGAGGACAGCAAGAGTCACCACCATCCTCAGATGAGACGATCCTACAGGACTACACAACTTCAGATGAGACGATCCTACAGGACTACAGAACTTCAGATGAGACGATCCTACAGGACTACACAACTTCAGATGAGATGATCCTACAGGACTACACAACTTCAGATGAGACGATCCTACAGGACTACAGAACTTCAGATGAGACGATCCTACAGGACTACACAACTTCAGATGAGACGATCCTACAGGACTACAGAACTTCAGATGAGATGATCCTACAGGACTACAGAACTTCAGATGAGATGATCCTACAGGACTACAGAACTTCAGATCAATATCTAACTTGCCTTTATTCTAAAATGTTCGAAAAAAAATATATAAACAAATCTACTCCTACCTCTTATCCCATAACATATTGAACCCCTGACAGTCTGGGTTGAGGCTCAATAAAACATGAATGATTCAATTATTCAGGTGCTCGAATTACTATATACAACACTTGTAAAAAATTTCTATCTTCTGGGTCTCTCCCCCTCAAGGAAGGTTCCTTGATGTTGGTGAGGGGCTCTTGATTAGGGAATTGGATCTGTGCTCCAGTTCCCCGAATTAAGCCTGAATGCCTTCCACATCCTCCCCCCCAGGCACTGTATAATCCTATGGGTTTAGTGCTTCCCCCCTTGATTATAATAATAATAATTCTGGGTCTCTTCATAGACCTGCGGCAAGCATCTGATACAGTAGACCACAATATCTTGCACTTAAAACTAGAACATTACGGGTCAGAAGACACTCTCAACTACCTAAAGTCTTATCTTAGTGGTAGACACCAGTATGTGTACACAAATGGTGTGACCTCCAACACTCAGCGTGTAGTTGTTGGAGTACCACAGGGAAGTGTCCTAGGTCCTCTACTCTTTTTCTTATTTGCATCAATGACCTCCCAAATGCATCGTGACTCCTTAAACCAGTTCTATTCACGGATGACACCAATTATGTCTCCCACCCAAACCCAGCTATACTTAGTAACACTGTAAACAACGAGATACATAAAATATCAAACTGGATGACGACCAACAAACTTACTTTCAACATAGACAAAACCTACTTCGTGTTTTTTGAAAACAGAGCATCAAATATCCAGCTAAACATATCGATAAATGTTTCATCCATTACAAAACACACTGGGGGCATATTTCTACGACTCCACCTTGAGACACACACCCTCACTCACTGTACCCTCTGCCCTGTATAGCCCTTGTGGCTTAGCGCTTCTTTTTGATTATAATAATAATGTACCCTCTGCCCCATCCCTCTCAGTACAAACCCCACCCCCACAGAAACCCACAGTAACCACACACTACCCTCTATCCCATCCCCTCACCACAACCCCCACCCCTACTGAACCCCCCCATAGGCCTTCTGCTCCCACCCCCACACCACAGACCCCACCCCCACAGCAACCCCCTATAGGCCCCTGCAAGGGCACCTGCTCCCCCTAACCCACCATTCTCCCCAGACCACAGTGATAGAAAAGAAGTTGAAGGTTTGGTACACGATCACAGATGGAATAGCGAAAAAATGTGAGTGGCATGAAAGAATCAGAGATGTCCTCAGACATCATAGCAGTCACAGAAACAAAACTCACTGGGATAATAACAGATGCAATCTTCCCACCCGGATATCAGATTCTGAGGAAGGATAGAAGGAGCAGAGGGATATGAGGGGTTGCACTGCTCATTAAAAACTGGTGGAGTTATCAAGAAATGGAAGGAATGGACGAGATTGGAGAAAGGGATTACATAGTAGGTACAGTTCAGTCAGGGGAACAAGGTAGTTATTGCAGTGATGTATAACCCACCACAGAACTGCAGGAGGCCAAGAAAGGAATATGATGAGTGCAGCAGAGCAATGGTGGACACACTAGTGAGGTGCCAAGAAGAGCTCACTTGAATAGAGCGAAGTTACTGGTTATGGGCGACTTCAACCACATGGAGATTGATTGGAAAAACCTGGAGCCACACGGGGGTCCCGAAACACGGAGAGATAAGAAGATGGATGTGGTACTGGCAAACCTCATGCACCAACATGTTAGGGACACTACCAGAGAGAGAGGGAAGGATGAACCAGCAAGACTGGACCTTGTGCTCACCCTGAGTAGCTCAGACATTGAGGATATCACACATGAAAGTCCCTTTGGAGCTAGTGGCCACATGGTTCTGAGCTTTGAATACATCGTAGAGCTACAAGTGGAGAGGGTAACAGGAGTTGAAGGGGAAAAGCCAAACTATAAAAGGAGGGACTACACAGGAATGAGGACCTTCCTGCAGGAGGTTTAGTAGGAAAGAGAGTTGTTAGGAAAGTCAGTAAACAAAATGGACTACGTAACAACAAAATGCAAGGAGGCAGAGGAAAGGTTTGTCCCCAAGGGAAACAGAAATAATGGGAAGACCAGAACGAGCCCTTGGTTTACCCGAAGGTGTAAGGAGGCAAAAACTAGTGCACTAGAGAATGGGAAAAGTACAGAAGGCAAAGGACTCAGGAAAATAAAGAGATTAGTCGACGAGCCAGAAACGAGTATGTACAGATAAGGAGGGAGGCGCAGTGGCAGTACGAAAATGACATAGCATCGAAAGTCAAGTCTGACCCGAAACTGCTTTACAGCCACATCAGGAGGAAGACAGTCATGGACCAGGTAATCAGGCTGAGGAAAGAAGGTGGGAAACTCACAAGAAACGACCAAGAAGTATGTGAGGAGCTCAATATGAGATTTCAGGAAGTATTT